AATGTTAGAATTTAAAATGGGTCAAAATGAGAGAACAAATGATAAGGTATCACATCTTAACCTAATTACATCTGCCAAAATTGATTTTGCAATGTTCTCTGTTTGATAGCAAGGCTATTCACATCCCGGAACTATGTTCAGAGGGAATTCACCAGAGGCCCAGTCCATGCATGGACCATATAAATGGACTCCTGGCTGGCATCATCATCATCCATAGCCCTCTGTACCATGTTCACAATGTAACCTCTGATTCCATTCCTTCGTTTACATTTTATTCTTTACAATCCTTGCATCACACAGGCTGGTGTGCTTTTTCCATGTGGATTTAATTGGCCCCTGGCTTAGATGGTTGCCTTTTTTAAGGCAAGGCTATAAATACATTTTCTAAACAGAAGCCGACAGTCTTTCTTCTGGGGAGAAGCTGATGGGCTTGAATATAGGGTTAGCAGTGCTTAACCACTGTGCCACCAGAGCTCTATAGATTTTTTTTATGTCTTAGCTTTCCTACTGTATTATAAGCTTCTCGAGGACAGGGTTACCCCTTGTAGAGATGTTTGCATTCAGAATAATCGTGAGCGCAACAGGAAGTGAGGATTTTTTCTTTAAGTTGGGTCCATTGTCAGTGTGTTTGCCCGTTTGTTGGTCTCTGATGTTCTGAGGTGGTACTTACGTTCTGAAGCATCTTTGCCAGAAACTCACTCAACTGATGGGAAGAGAGATCCTTCAGGTCTGCTGCGCTGAATGAACCAAAATCACTTTCTTTGGCCTAAAAGACATGTTTCCGGGTCATTTCCCTCTTGCACACCCTCATTGTATTTAATGGCTTATCTGACATAATAGTATGTACCCTTTAGAAGTGACAGCAGAAATACCTGGCTGTAAAAGGCTGCAAATTAATACACAACAAAATCCATAAAATCCTTAGCTACTTAAATAATCCTGAGGCTGAATTACTGATATTTTTAAAGTGGCCAGGACTCCTAAAATCAATAGGATAGAAGAACTATTGGGCTACTAATAGTAAGGCTAAGTAAACTTTGGACATCCTTTCCACACTCAGGCCATAGAATTTTCAAAGTAAAGGAAGTGTTATAAAAAAGCATGCTAACTAATATTAAGGGGGCTTTCAAAATGTTGGTGGAAAAAATGAGATGAAAAGATAGGGAATCACACCCCCCCCACCCAAACTTCCTGATGCCCCCTCATATAGGTTAATAAAAAGCTTGGATAAGGGATGAAGTTGCTTATTTTTCGTAAGACCACATGAATAATTGCTAAGGGCACAGATGCAAGCTTCCTTCTGGCCTACACTGTTTATTTCCCCCACTTCATCCTAGAAGTCAGCTTAGAAACAGAAAAGAAGGGCTGTGCTTTTCAAAATTAGGATTCACAGCCACAAACATTTGAGATGATTTAGAAACATTATATAGTTTAGTAAATTATGTTTCTTAAGATCTTTTAAATCTAGTTCAGAACTTTTAAGCTAGTGAATTTTTTAAAATTTAAAAGCTAGATGCAAATGTTTAAAAAAGAAAAATAAAAACTAATAGGATAGAATTAAAAATTCCTTTGTTTTGTTTCCTATCTCCAATCCCAGTTCTCAGAAACTAATATATTAATAGCTCCTTGGTTATATCCTTACAAAGGATCCCCAGTGTATAATGGGTAAGTGCTTGGTTGCTAACCAAAAGGTTTGCAGTTTGAATCTACCCAGTGGCACGAAAGGAGACGCATCTATCGGTTCGCTTAAACAGCCACTCCAAATACAACTACTCATGTGTAAGATACAGGGCCCCCCTGCCCCACAAAATCTTCATGTAAAGCAGTGGTTCTCAACCTTCCTAATGCTGCGACCCTTTAAACAGTTCCTCATATTGCGGTTACCCCCAACCATAAAATTATTTTCGTTGCTATTTCATAACTAATGAAACTGAAAAAGTCATTTGACCCCCAAGGGGGTCGCGACCCACAGGTTGAGAACCATTGATGTACTATTCAAAAAACCCCAGACATTACCACTCACATTTATCCATCTTTGACTTAAGGCAACACAAGCATTTGTCAGAGTCATATCATAACTGCAAAGATGAAAGATGTTAAAGATTAAAGTTTATAAAAATGCATATGTTTTCACATAAAGGCAATTTTAAGGTTACAGACTATACCTATATTTCAAACCAGAGAATTCCAAGTGATGGAAAGAGGAACTCTTACTTGACTCAATTACAAGTAATAAATTGAACAGACCTCTATTTATAATATCCC